TTTTTAATGGCTGTGCTCAGAAGGAGGCCACTGATGCTAACCTACTGCAGTGAAAATGATGGGTGGCCTTTCCAGCTGGCATCACTGTTATTCGGTCAGGTTCTTCCTGAGGTGTTCTCGTTTGTCTTCCAGCCCAGGGGGGAGCACAGGACAGGATTGTAGATCCAGCCAGCATCAGCTAATGCAGAACATGACATTGAAAGAAGAGAAGGAAGGGCAGTTGTCTCGCTGCTCTTTCTTGCAGACTCCAGCTGAACCCATCACAACTGAGTTGATGTAGAAGCGCTAGGACACATTTTAGGACACTTTTCCATAGATTGTAGCTCCGGAAATTTTATAAAAATGTTAGCAACGGGTTAGTCATAGATTTCTAATTTGGCCAGAAAATGTATATATTCATTTACCCAGGTAACTGTAAAATAACCAAGTGAAATTTGTAAATGGAAATACATTTTCTTAGTCTTCCCTTTCCACCTATACTTCAGCATATAATTTTTTCCTCTTCTATGTCAGGATACAATCAAATCTTTCACAATAAAATCTTTTTCTCTTAAAATATGAGTGAAAAAAAGAATCCAAGAGGAGACACTTTCCAGCAACCTGAGCATGGGCCAGTGATTTGGATCATCACAAGTTTGCACCAAGGCAGATAAGTACTTTACACAGAGCAGAACATCCCCAGAAGGAGAGACCTATCCCCTCACAGAAGATCATTAACACAGAAGGTTGATATTGAAAGCTTAGTCTAAATCAAGTAGTAACATAACTTGAAAATGAATTTCCCATTTCCAAAGGAAATGCTTTTCCTAAGCACCTGTTTGGTCTGAGTAAGGTCAAATTTGGAGCATGTTGATAAGTTGGCATTTTCTGATGTTAATTATCATGTTAGGAAATACCTCTGTATGTAGGAAGCATGACTTCTTACAGCAACTTCTTGCTCTTGATATAAATGTGCACTGGTATATACACACATATACATGTATATACACTGGTATATACATATACACATCTACACAGAACAGGAGAAATAGATGAAGAAGTATCAGTAAAACTGACATTGGGGCTTCCTGCATCTCTGGTCAGCCTGGCACTTAGTCAAAAATGTTTAGGGTATAAATTTGATTTTCTGTTAATCAGTGAAGTAAGTCTAGGGGTTTCTGGTGAACCGTTATGTAACAGAAGAAAGCAAAGCTCTGTCATGTTAAAGAATCCTTGTTGTTTAGTTTGAAGCTATAGATAAGGAAGTTTAGAAGCCTGGCTAATTTCCCACAAAAGGTCTTGTCCAAGACCACAAGTGGCTGCTCTCTGTGGACAGTGGGAAGGGGCTTATAGAATGCCCCTGCAGGGTTATTGCAACCTCTCACAATATTCACCCAGGTAGGAGCCAGAACTTAACAGTCAGCTAAAACAGGCTTTTTGTACCACACCACTCAGTGGAGATTTGTGAGACTCATACCAAAAGCTGCTAAATAAAATTTTCCACTTCAGCAACTTATTCAACCAGAGGGAATTCTGACTGCAGTACAATTGAAACTATTCTTGCTCAGAAAATAGAAATCATTGATTACCCTGCATTTGTGGAGGCATTGTTCTTCATCCTGCCCAATGGTCTGTTCTTCTAAGAATCCTTCACGATTGCTACCAAATAAGTCATTGTTGCAAAAGCATCAAGCAGGGAATGCGTTATTATTATAACAAGTCTGTCAGATGCTGTTGCTAACAACTAAGGCTCCCTATTAAAATGATCCCACATGCATCCATCTAGAATTTGGGAGTTCACTAGACAGCTTTCAAGGTACTCTTAATAAGCAATACTCTCCCATTTATGATTAATGCATATAAAGAAAGAGAAAAGCTTAATGGAGGAAAAAAAAAATAAAATATAAGGGCAGGTTGTAGAAACACTTGACAATATATCTGTGAAAGGAAAAGAAAACCAACCCTCTGTTTCAGAACAAACTAATGAGTTACATTTGTTCCTCACACTCCAATGCAGATATCCAATAATCAAATGTTCGCTCACCACTATGCTGATCCTTCCTTACTTCCAGAAAAGCCTGCTGTTTTTCAGTGGACAGCACAATCCCAAAATAGAAGTGTCTCTCCAGCTCCAGGCCCTACCCTGTTCCCTCATGCAGCTCTAGATACTTTAGATGGTATGGTCCCATCATATTTTACCCTGCTTATCTTCCATGTTGTGAGGTTATCTTCAACAACTCTTGCTGGGAAATGCTCAGTATCACCTCTCAGTAAATTCAGTGTGCTGAGAATGGGGCTTTAATAAAGTATATTGTTATTTGTACTGCCATAGCTCTTTCAAACCCCAGGAAGAGTCCGACCTTGCATTTGACACTCCACAAACATCCCCTATCCCTTTTAATATCTTTATTGATGACTTGGCTGAGGGAATTGAGTGCACCCTCAGTAAATACGCAAATGATACCAAGCTGGGGGGAAGTGTTAATCTGACAGAGGGTAGGAAGGCCCTGCAGAGGGACCTGGACATGTCGTATCAATTGGCAGAGGTCAATGGATGAGGTTCAACATGGCTAAGTGCACTTTGGCTTGCATCAAGTGCACTAAGGCCTGCACTTTGGCTACAGCAAACCCATGCAGTGCTACAAGCTTAGGGCAGAGTGGCTGGAAAGCTGTGCAGAGGAAAAGGAACTGGGGGTGCTGATTGATGCTTGCCTGAACATGAGCCAGCAGTGTGCCCAGGTGGCCAAGAAGGCCAACGGGATCTTGGCTTTTATCAGGAGTAGTGGAGCCAGCAGGAGCAGGGAGGTGATCGTCCCCCTGTGCTCTGCTTTGGTGAGGCCACACCTATAGCACTGTGTTCAGCTTTGGGCCCCTCACTACAAGAAGGACATCGAGGCCCTGCAGCGTGTCCAGAGCAGGGCTACGAAGCTGTTGAAGGGCCTGGAGCACAAGTCCTGTGAGGAACGGCTGAGGGAACTGGGGTTGTGTAGTCTGGAGAAGAGGAGGCTCAGGGGAGACCTCACTGCTCTCTGCAGCTACCTGAAAGGAAGTTTGGGGGTTGGCCTCTTCTCGCAGATAACTAGTGATAGGACAAGAGTGAGTGGCCTCAAGTTGCACCAGGGGAGGTTCAGGTTGAAAATTAGGAGACGTTTCTTCTCAGAAAGAGCAGTCAGGCACTGGGATGGGTTTGCCCAGGGAGGTGGTGGAGTCACTGTCCCTGGGGGTGTTTAGGGAAAGGCTGGATGTGGTACTTTGGGACATGGTTTAGTGGGTGATATTTGTGGCAGGAGGATGGTTGGAGCAGATGATCTTGGAGGTCTTTTCCAACCTTAATGATTCTATGATTCTGTGATTACAGCCCTATTTAGAGCCTCAGGTTCAAATCAAAAATAAGTCATTGTTGGGCAAAACATTTTGTAAACATTTGCAAAAATAAAACACCACGCCCTGAAAAGCCTATATCCCAGGACGTGTGACATGCATAAGGAGAGCAGAGAAGGCTGAAGTCAAATTCATTTTACATCTTATACTCATTTACAGCTTTTCTGCTCATCATAAATACACATAAAAAGTGTTGAAACTCCCCATCTGTGCCTTAAAATATTACACAGGGCCTGAGGGTACACCTCGAAGATAAGATTGCAGTGACAACTATAGGGACATTGCAGGCTGGAGGGGCTGTGAGAGGCAAGGAAGGCCGGTGGCTGCACACCTGAGGTGCTTGGAGGAGGGCGGCCATGTCAGGTGGCGGCCAGAGGGCAACAATTGCCCTCATGAGGGAGCCGCCACTGCCCTCGGTCCTGGGCATGGTGTGTGTGTGTTTTCGGGGGTAGCAAACCATAGCCCTCTCCCCTCTCACTGCAGGCCTGCCAGCTCTTGGAGTCGTGTCCAAACCAGCGTCATATTAAATTTGTGCTGAGGGGAATTTGCCAAGACTGATTTCTTCAGCTGCTAGGGATGGTGGCTGGTGATTATGCGCTGCATTCCTCTGCATTCAGAATGTTCCTGTCTGATTTTACAGGGAATTTGGAGGCAGTTGTGGTCTGGAAAAGCTTAGCCTTCCTCAGAGTATTCAGAGAAGAATTCAGATTTGAAGGGCTTACCCAAAAGAAAGCTCCAGAGCTTCTGTGGCTAACCCCTGTCTCATAATATACATATAATATTTTTAGTTTAGCTTCAAATAATGGCTTGTTCTTACTGAAAGGATTTCAGTACAAAGACAAAGGTGATACAGTTCTAATAGCCTCATGCCCTCCCTTCTGCAAGGATTTTTTTTTTTCTTCTCACTAGGGAGGCAGAAAACAGGTATATAACAAAAATAATGCTAGCGCTGCAATTCAAAGATGCAGTAACACATTCAAGAATAGGTGCCTTAGTGAGTGTGCGAAATTACAGATGTACCTGTTAGGTTTGTACAGTAACTGGCAGAAGCTGCAGTGTGCAAGACAGAACAAGAAGCAAGAAAAGAGATTAAAAAGCCTTAATGTACAAGGATTCCATTTCACACCATTGTCATGCTGGTGTTACATATTATTCTGGATGGTGTTGTATGTTACGCTGGATGCCATGCAGTGTCTCTAAACAATGTTATATACCCTATAAGTTAAAATAATGGTTCAGTGCAAGTCTTAAGAGTGTTAACCTACATTGAAGTCAAGGGCCCTTTAGTTTTCAATCTATGCTCTCCCAGCAATGCTCATTTTAACTCCTAGTAGCAAATACTTTCTGCCTCAGAGGAGCTGCATGTCTCTCTAAGTGGCAAAAATTGTAAGCTTTGTTGTAAATGAAGCATGGGATACGCTGTCAATACAAGCTATCCAAAACATAATGAGAGTATTTAAATATTTTATGATTTTTTCCAATGTTCTATCAGAGATTGAATGCTGGAGTGAGGCATAAGTGAGAGCGACTTACCAGATGAAGAACATAATGAATGTCTTTCATAAAAATGAATATTTAAACAGTGTAGTTAGTTGTATTATAATTGTTCAACCTCAACATGATACCATGATGTTTCACTATTCTTTCCTCCAGTACAATTTTAATCTGAATGTTATATATATAAACTGTAGTGAATAAGAATCCATCAGGCATGGCATCAGCTCTTAGAAATGTAACCCTTTGGACAGCCAGGATGTTTGATTTAACCACAAGCTGTGGATACTGTATATATGTATTTTAATGCCAAACCAAGAGAAATCACCGGTAAAACTCCTATTGCCCTGAGTGGAAATCTTTACCGAGAGGAAAATATCGGTAGACTGTTCCAGTATGAAGCTGCACCTGCATGGTCCTTCATGCCTCTGCACTGTTTCACTAAAGAAAAAAAGAAAAAAGAAAAAAGTGGACTTTCACTGAATGTGGATATGCACATACATGGACATACACACACATGCTCATAGAGCTATGGAAAGCCTATTGCAGGCAACAAAAATACTTCTACCTATTTTAGTGCAACTAAAGCATTGAATCTGTAAGTAAGGGCAATTGAAAACATTAGACATTTAGCAGCAAATGTAGTTAACACTTCTTTCCTTTGAAGCATCAGCTGTCACCGTATTCAGAAGAACTTTTGCAGTCAGTTGTTAAACTAGCAGCATATTTATCCTCCTAGAGTATTGAATTAACTGGCTTTTGAGGACCACCTTGCTTGAACAGCTTGTGCAGTTACAGGTCAACCTTGGTGCTAAAATCAGAAGACAGCTCTGAAATCTGTGTCTGTGCATGCTAGGTGTGAACCTTCCCTGCATGTATGAATGATACCAATGTGCAATATCTTTTTATTCTGTGTGGATGGTTGAAGGAGTGTATATAGAGGAACTACCCTAAGACACTGTTGTTCTGATGACCAGAAGAAACAGTGCTGTGCCTTTTGGCTCCTACAACTCCTTCATCCCCAGAAGGTGGCAATCAGGACCATTATTATTCTTGAGCCTATCATAAGATTTATTGTTTTAAATGTTTAAATACTCTATTTGTCCACTGCTTGTCAGCAAGGCATATTGAGGGAGAGAGTGATGAAGAATGTGGAAAGATTTTATTTTTTCTTTTTTACGAAGATGGTGTTTCAACTTCATTTTATTCATATAGAATAACATCCGTAAGGTTTTAGAAAGAAGGTAAAATAGGAATTTTTTGGGTAGGTGGTTTGGAGCAGCAGTTTGGTGGGAGCTAGCTGATTTTGAACCAGTTTTACTACACTTGATCCATATTCACTAGAAGCAACTTATTTATTGAAACTTCTTCTTGCTTCTCTCCATTTTCAAGATTTCAGTGTAGTTTAAAGGATTACAGTTTTGTTCTGGGTTTGTTACATTAATTTTGTATTTGGTGAACAGAGTGGTAGACAGGAAGAGGAACACACAAGTGGAACATTTAAATTAACTGAAACACATTTGAAAATATGTTTGAAAATATGTAAGCCTGTTAGTTAAGACAAAAAATAGAAAATCCCCAAAGTCTATCAGTTTAGGATTTTCTTCTTAGAAGATTTTTATTTTAATGAAATCTCTGTAAGCACTAATCCACAGTACTGAACAGGGCATTTTGTTTCATTTAATTGATTTTCTTTATTGCAGCCAAGTTGGTAAAAGATTGAAAGTCATCTATTGTGCATGTGTAAATACCTTAAGAATCCCTTTTAATATGCACAGCGATTAGCTTATTAACAAATTCAGACTACAAAATGATATAGCACTTTGAGATGCGATTCCAGTTATTTGCATAATAACTAATCACCTGAGCATGGCTTTACTTCAGCCTATTTACCCCCCAAAATGGGCAAGATTATTAGCATGTTTGTCTGTATTTATAGCACTTCTACTGCCATGGTTATGTGTTGTTTGGTTTAGCTATTCAAGACTGAAGAATAGAGCAGTGCCATTGCTATAGCTAGCGGTAAAGCTAAGTGTGCAAGCATCAGAGAAATCAGCCAAAGCCAGGTCTCACTAGAGCTTTTTCTATTTATATCTCTTAACTAATGATTTGTAAAAGGTCTTTGTGTGCCATCAGTGGTGTTGCATTGAAGAAGGCAGGTCTGGAAAATCTTCAGTCCTCTACAAGGTGAAGAGAACGCTTGATGAAGTCAGCCAAAGAATATTTATATGTAATACTTATATATTCTTTGTATTCTCCATAAATTTCTTCATATGCTCCTACAAAGCATTCAGAGCCTCTCAGTTCCCTGTTGCTCTGGTGAAGTATGAGAATTTCTCAGCTCTAGGAAGTATTATACTCACGTAGGCCTTGCAGTCAGTACACTCCCCTGCTTCACTAGTGCATTTAGTTACCCCCAAATATAGTTTTTATTCTGTGCCACAAATACAGTCCCTTAAATGCACAAGACAGCAGGCAGTGTGAAAAGCCTCTATTCCTCCTGAGCATTGGAAGTGACTGAGTAACATGTGAGTGAGAGAATGAAACATTACCATGTGTGAACTGTGAGGAGATGTACAGAGAAAAAGCAAGAGTGAATTTTGGAGCAGATTAAAAGAGACGTGTGATAAAGATAAGTGATGCCAAGAGAAAAGAGAGAGGTGGAGAGTTAAAGGACAGCAAAGACTTTCCTTAAAAATAGTAAAGGGAAACCAAAGTACGCGACCAAAGCTGTTAAGAGATGAGAAAAAAAAAATCACCATCCATTACAAGCGACATTACACAGCTGCAGAACTCTCTACAGGTAGGACGCTTAGTATGAGTCAAAGATAGCTGCAGCAATTACGAAATGAACTTATGATTAATTTATTAAGTTGTATGTGTTCTTCTGTGAGTTAAAGCATTTGATTGAAACCTTACATTTAATATATTATAGGCAAATGTACACAATTTTAGCCAAGGACCTTCTTGTTCTACTTACTTTTATCTATGGTAGATGTAATTTCACATCTAACTCAAACATTTCTGACAGCATGAGAGCATGATACATAAATCCTATAGCTATTTATTTTTAGATATGGCAGTTACTTATTTCCTTGTGCAGATCAGGTTAGAAACCATTGGATAGTAGAAACTAATTCTTGGATTTAGATTTAACACTGCAGATCTGACTCTTCCACCTGAATTCTTACAGGAGGGTATAATTTTAGACTTGAAATAACTGCTTACACCTCCAAAAGTCTTTCAGCTCATGTTTCACTGAATAGATCTTATTGTCTGATCATGTTAGCAATAACTTTGATAACTACTCTTTTAATCTATGCTAATAAAGTTGTATTTTCATATCAGATAATTATATTATTCCACGAAATAATTTGACAATATACATAATAACATTTTAAGTTCATTATATAATAAAGGTCTTAATATTTATTTACAATTTCTACATGTTTTATTTTTATAGGTATTTGTACTCATTATATTGAGTCAAATCTTCAGCAAATGTAACATGCTATAGGTCTGGGGAAGCTATGGAGGTAAATCTATTTAAAACACTTAAGGATCTGGCCTTTATTTCTGTATTTTAACATCATTTACTTTACAAGTGTACATAAGCTGACTCTTGGCCAGGAGCTTTACTTTGTTTCATAGGTGGCTAGTAAGAAGGGGTTTTGTGGGGGATTTCTTTTCTATTTTTTCTCAAAGGCCCCTGTTGAGGAAAGAGAAAATGAACTAAATAATTATTCTAGTACTGGATCTTGTTAAGAATAATCTTTCATGCTGCTGCTGTCTGATTCTTCAATGTGATCTCCAGAACTTCTCGAACTTTATTAGAGAACAATGTCAGTGCTTCCACAGTGCAAGGCTGATGTGCTTTTACAGATACTTTCCCCAAAATTACATTTGTTTAGCAATTCTTTTTTTTTTTTTTTTCTTTTCTTTTGGTTTTGGATTTACTCAATATCCAGCCCTTTTCCTACTCCAGTTTGAAATCTCAGAGTTTTCTATCTTCAGTATCATCTGCAGGGGTAACAGCAACAAAGTATGAGGAATAACTAAGCAAACAAATGATAATTAAAAAAAAAAAAAATCACCCCAAAAGATCATGTGTACAAATCCCCAAACAATAATTACTTGAAAAAGACTGTGTGGTTGTTTTGACAGCCATGTCCATTAACATTCAGGGATGAGGAGTCTGAATTTCAACAGATGCCCTAAGAAGCAGAGAATCGGGGATTATTTGGATTTGAGGTACAGCAACAGGCCACGGCTGTTCTAAATGGTTATCAGAGTGATTTATTACAAACTGAGTTGCAAGGTACAAATAACCTTAGAGGGTTGCAAGAGAAAGAGATCAGGGAAATGCTTATCTTGGTGTCATGGATACCTCCTTAGGCCACCCTCAGCAGCTTTTCCAAGCTCATGAATTTTACTTTTGATGCTTGAAACCAGGAGTTATGCAAAGGATCTTCCATACAGCACATATTGCATTATGAGCATGTCATCCTACCCTAAGTGACCAGGCAACACCAGGAAACAAGTGGTATTTCTGGACAAAAATGCCTACAGCATGCTCTGACCATTACAGCAAGTGTTTGCAGGTCTGGTCATGTGATGAATCTCACCATGATTCTTTATGGCCCCATCAAACAGAGAAAGAAGGATCAGGTTTGTATTGCGTCTGTATAACTCATTTTACACCAGCTTTATTAAGACTGCAGTATCATAACTTCTCACATTTTTGCCTGCTGTCACCTAATAATGCCAGTTTTCATAGCTCATAAATTCAAAACAACAAACTACTTCTAAACTTTACGAAGATAAAAGTACAGGCAAGCACAAAGCCTGGCACTTATTTTTCTTCCTAATATTTGTATTCTAGGTTTTCAGAAAACCTAGATAAAAGGGTTTCCTTAACAATGCACTTTGATTTGCAATTCAGGACCATAGAGTCAGTCATGTAAATTTCAAAATGCAGCCTATCGTATTACTGCCTGTACAAATCACTTTAGCCTGTGGTCTCTTAACAAGTGTCAAGCATGGCTCTTGATGCCAGTTTTTGGAAACCAGGTGTATGTGTGTTTCAGAGCCCAGGAACTGTTGTGGACACCAATACACTCCCACCTACAGAGCCTGAGTCACTGGCTGAACTTAGTCTCTTGTTATTCCTCAAAATAAAAACGTCCTGCAACATCCTACCATGTAGCATCATCTCTTAACGTGAAGAGCTCACTGGCCTAATTACCTGTCAACATCTCTATATGTTCTGTGTCTTCTGCTCATATGGAAGGAATACTTGTGGAGTCTTGGTGCTACAGGACCATGAGGTCTCTGGAGAGAGACCCTCTCTCCAGATTCATTCCTCCTGGCTACTGAATAGACATCAGATGACAACACAATTTGGCTGTTTCTGACCTAGATTGCTACTTGCAACCTTTTTT